ACAATAAAACAGGAATTTTCAGAGCATATAATTTCTTCTCAGAAGGGAAAGGCACCAGAGAGTGGTGCCGAGTAAGCGCTACCTGAAAGCGAGGGAACGCCTTGCCTGTCTCTCCTTCTGAATAGCAAGGAGCAGGCTGTATAAGGACCACTCAGCCTCTGTAACAATATCTTTGTTTTCCTACCCAATGAGCTCAACCCACTGTGAATATTTTGATCACTATGGGTCATCTGTAAAGACTCCAACTTGCTAACATAAGAAGAAACCAACTGAAACAGTGTCCAGGAAGCCCCGGGATCCTGTGCTTGCCTGGGAAAAGCAGCTTCTGGGTGGTTGAAGGGGGAAGGAGTCGGACGTTGGCAGGCACCCATTAGTGTTGGTTACAACTTGCTAAAAGAAAATATTAAAATAAAAATTAGATCATAAATTTGGAGCTACAGTTACCAAGCCTAAAGTGCAAATTGCCAAACAAGTCAAGAGACTCATTAGCATTTTATGTAAATCAGTTATTACTGTTCTCCACTTCCTTAATTATCCATGTTATTTCAATACAACCCTTTCTTTGATGTCCCAATTCTATATTTAAATAGTGCAAGATTTCTATCGGATCCTCCCGCAGAGGTTTGTGCCATGCAAAAAACATGCCAAGAGCAGCTATTTCAGAGACTACAGGGAAATGTTTAATTGGTTCATCCCATTTGAGTTATGAGGGCGTATTACTGAGCGCATAAAATCAGAAACATGGCAAGTACTAGCTTGGAGAAGTTTACTGAAACCTGCAAGAGACCATTTGAAATTTTGCCCCCAAGCCTTTTTGGATTCTCTGTGGGAGCTGATTCAAAGGGAAATTTTGCAAACTTCATTGAATTTTGCTAAACGATTGATTTATAATTGAAATATTTGGAAATAAAACCCACCAGCCCTCTTTCCTTTGGGCACAGAGAGTTAGTTATTCTTTAGGTTGGATGAAAGAAATACAAACAACAGAGAGAAAGCAGAACATGGGGTGGGGGTGAGGGGGGCAGGCAAGCATTTTCCACCAAGCCCTTGTCAAATGGTTCATCTTTTCTGAAAGAGGGACCATCACTAATTTAAAGGACAAGTTTGCAGATATCTTATTCTCAAGTTGTCTAAAATTAAAGAATATATCACAAATTACAGATATAAGTGCCCTTTCTCTAATAAACTTAAATATAAATATACATATGCATATACACACACACACACACACACACACACACACACACACACACACACACACATATACATATACTAGAGGCCCAGTGCATGAATTCATGCATCAGTGGGGTCCCTTGGCCTGGCCTGCGGGTTCGGGCCAAAACTGGCTCTCCAGCATCTCCCGAGGGGTGCTGGATTGCGAGAGGGCGCAGTCCAGGCTGAGGGACCCCACTGGTGCACAATTGGGGCCGGGGAGGGATGCAGGAGGTTGGCCAGCCGGGGAGGGATTGTGGGAGCGCCCCTGGGTGTGTCCAGCCCATCTCACTTAGTCCTGATTGGCCGGACCCCAACAGCAAGCTAACCCACCAGTCAGAGCGTCTGCCTCCTGGTGGCCAGTGCACATCATAGCGAGTGGTCAACCAGCCAGCTGTCTGCCCCTGGTGGTCAGTGTACTCATAGCAAGCGTTTGAGCGGCCTTAGCATATCATTAGCATATTATGCTTTGATTGGTTGAACAGACAACCAGACACCTAGCATATTAGGCTTTTATCATTTAGGATATTTCAGAAAGGAAGGGAGAGGGAGAGAGAGATAGAAACATCAATTATGAGAATCATTGATCAGCTGCCTCCTGCACGCCCCCCACTGGGGATCAAGCCAGCAGCCCAGACATGTGCTCTGACCAGGTATCAAACCATGATTTCCTGGTTCATAGGTCCCCCCAACCACTGAGCCATTGAGCCATGCTGCCGGGCTCATGAATGAACTTTTAAAAGAACAATGTGCCACAGGAACTTGATAGTCACTCTTATTACCTTTTAATCAGTAAGTAGGTTCCCTCCTCATTGTCACCTGCCTGTATATTTCTGCCTCCTGCCCCATAACCTAACTTTTTAAAAAATACTTTAATTTTTTAAAATGGATAAAGGAAGAATCTTTGTGAATTGTAACTGAAAATAGAATTAAATAGATGGAAACTTATTCTTCTTCCCATATATTTTGGAACACTTACTATGTTTGATTTTTTTTTTTTTTTTTTAGAAAAAAGAGCAGATTTGGGGGAAAGCCAGTATGATAGTGTAGGATTTGGTGACAGATAGTTCCAGATTCTAGACCAAACTGTGTGGCCATGTTCAAGCCATCTACCATGGTGTCCCTCAGTGAAACATGGCTAACAGTTGTAAAGACTAGCACATAAACATAGCACTTGATATATAGTAGAGGCTCAATAAATGGTAAACTCTACTCTAGACCAGGCACTGTGCCGAATGTTTAAGTGATCACACTGAATCCTCAAAACACTCCTTAAAATAAGTGTGATTACTACTATGTAACAGATGAGGACAACAAGGTTTTTGGGGTGTTGAGTTTAGTGATTTGCCCAAGGTCACACAGAATGGAGTGTAGGAGCTGTGAGTTTAATCTAAAAGTTCTCTAAGGTAAAACAATAGTTTTGACAAGAACCATACAATAGATAAGTTTAACATTATAAGGGGGAAAGACAGCATTTCTATATCCTTTTCCTGTCTATTTAAAGTAATAGTATTTATAGAAAACTCATCTCAGCAGACTAAAATACTTTTAATATTTAATCTGACTTCTTGGTTATTCATTTAACAAATACCTTTATGAGGCTTGCCATGTTCCAGGCACTGTTCTAAGCACTTAAATCTAGTAACTCATTTAACCATTTATACATACTTATTTTGAGAGCCAGCGCAGCAGGTAGGTATATGGGAGAGTTTCAAGACCCTGGGAGGCAGGAACCTACCCTAGTGCTTATGATCTTCCAAGTCCCTGGGCACTAGCCCATATATGCTTTTTTAAAATGTAAATTACATTTTTAAAAACATGATTCTTCTGATCATACATATGGCATACTCATTATAGAAAATTTGAAAACTATAAGTAGTTGTAAGGAAGAAAAAAATGGAAAAAGCCTTTATAATTCCTCTACACGTTGTTAACATCAATCCAAGATTTTAGTGGAAAGAGAAACACATGATCCAGCACAAGGAGTAGTTCCAGCTGCTTCTTCACTTTGCTTGTTTTAAGAGTCTGAGAGTAACTCAGAAGTTACTACTACAAAATCATAACACGGGCAGGAACTGGACGGAGAACCCGCCAGGGGTTCAAATTCCTGTGTTGTGTCTTCATCGTATAACTTGCTGTCTAGTTCACATGAATATAAAGCAAACATCAAACACATCATTAAGTGGGACGTTTCCTATGCAGTCCAGAACAAAACATAGAAGCTGACATGCCACCATCCCCAAAGACGCCAGTCTCCATGCCCCTCTGTCTCCGCCCCTGTTTAGATCTTGTCATTTAGGCCTTGATCGTACCAAGGATTATCAGCCTTTAGTATTTACTCTATTCTTTATCCTGGGACTTCCTGTTGCCGAAGTCTGATCGCTTATCTGAAAAGCTTCCGTTTGTTTCCCCAGTGACTAGTGGGGTTTCATCACCAGGAAAGCACATTGTTCCAACTCTACAAGTCTACAGTCTAAAATCATCATCATGTTTTTTCATCAGAATGAAATATCGAGTGCTCTGCTCAGTGCAAGGTTTTATTAATGATGTGCTGTCAGGGGCTGGATGTTCTGCATATTTGCATATTAAACAGCTGAGTGAAGAAACATTCCTTTTATTGCTGCAGGGAATAAATCAGTTTAAAGCAAGTTCTCATCATTTATACTCCTTTCAGCTAAGTCTTCTTTTATTGAAATAAATTGTTGAAGTGCTTTGCTCATTCTTTGAATACTGATGAAATTTACCTTGATAGGACCTCGGGAAAAATAATATTTTCTTAAAGGTGCAGTATTGTTCCATTTCTTAGTATTGCTTTAGTACATTATTGATAAGATAATTTAGAAATAGCAAGTGAAATGGGAAGAAGAACAGTTTTGAATAAAGATGATGTTTCCTCTGGATGATTTTGCCAAATGTATCTTTATTGGTAGAATGTAAGAGGAAAAAAAGCCATTAAGCAACAAAAAGTACTGTATTTTTAAATGAATGATCAACTGTGTTTGCATTCAAATCCCAATGGGCAGCATATTTCAACCACACACAAGGACACAGTGTTTACCAGATCCCAGAGTTCACTATCCCCTGGGCAGGCATATAAGAGATCCCAAGAAATCAGGCTACTTTCAAATATGAATTGCACCTAGCCTCTGGGCAGGCAGACAGTGTCTGTGGTACAGGAGCTGTGCAAATGCTTTGGGTTCCCGTCTCCTCATGCCTCCTGTCTATGCCGGAGGTTGAAAACTCTGTTTATATTGAATATGTCCTGAAACGTTTTTTTAAAAGTATTAGCTCACATGATGTTTTTGCAAACTTAATTGCTTGCCAACATTTTAAAATTGGGAAATTTCACATAAAAATCCAGATTTCCAGCCTTTCTGCAAAAGGCAGAAGAAGAGCAAGGGACCCTAAAACTTTTTCATCATCTGTTGCCAAGCAATAGCTGTCCGATAGGTGGAGCAGGTCCTCTCATGTTGCCACAGTCCCCACCACTCCCTATTGTCATATGCCTGCCCCTGGCTCTTTCTGGTGCCTGCCTGGGGCCATCCCTGGCCTATGCCTTTTCTCTTGATGGTGAACTCACTTATATAAAGTGCTTGGGCAGTGCCTGACACATCATAAGCATCTGATAAGTATTAGCTGGTATTGAAATGGATAAAAACATGTGAACCAAGGTTAGTCAGTAAAATACATGTTTTATTTCCTTTTTTATATTCTTCTGAGCATAGAACCAAGCATATCTTCAGCTTACAATTTCCTGTTTCCCAAATTATTTGTATATCTAAAAAGTAGCCCTCTCAGCATCTTCAAATCTTTTCTCTGATACCCCCTTTTCAGGGGTGCCTTCCCTGACCACATTATTTAAAATTGCAAATTTCTCCCTGAACTGTGCTCTCTCTGAATCTTCCATTTTACTTATTTTGTAGCATATATTGCATCTGAGAGACACTGTTTCTCTTTTTCATCTGTTCATTTAGTAATTGTCTCATTCCCCTCCCTCACTAGATGGTAAAACTCCAGGTAAAAGTCCAGAAGACTCAAGGTTTTATGTGCTTTGGTCCCTACTGTGTTCTGAGTACCAGTATCCATGCCTGCCACTTAGTAAGTACAGTAGGTGCTTAATAAATACTAATTGAGTAAATGAATACATGAATGATGGGATGGATGGGTTTGCTTATTATAGGTTGGCCTCAATCTTTACAGAAATTCAACTCAATAAGTATTTAATTAGTGCCCATGTGTGCAGGGTCGCGTGCTGTTGCAATATGGAAGGAAGAAAAGCCACGGTCATGCCAGTGGTCTATGCCCAAAACGTGATAACTGTATAAAGAACTACAATGTGCATTCTGGACTGAGGACTAGAAAAGAGGGATGACAGGTACTCACCTTTCTCCAGACCCTCTTATAGACTAGGCACACGGTCACGTGCTCAGAGGAGCCTATGTAGGGTCATTGCACTTGCCCTTTTACCCTGGAGATGACTGAGGCTCAGAGAGGGTGAACCACATTCCCAGGGTGGCACTGCAGGTGTGTGGGCAATGGGCCCAGCATGCAAGGTCAGTGTGGCCTGACTCTACCAGTGGTTCTCAACCTTCCTAATGCCGTGACCCTTTAATACAGTTCCTCATGTTGTGGTGACCCCCAACCATAAAATTATTTTCGTTGCTACTTCATAACTGTAATTTTGCTACTGTTATGAATCGTAATGTAAATATCTGATATGCAGGATGTATTTTCAGGGGTCGCGACGCACAGGTTGAGAACCTCTGCGAGTCTAGACCCTTTCCTCAGGGCAGGGAGATGGGAGAGCAAGGATAGAGGACAGGATGGAGCATGTTTCTAGACCCTCAGGAATGACATTTGGGGAAGCTACTGGCTGGAGGCACCAGCACAGAACATGGGATGTAGCTGGGGAGGACTGTGTCTCAGGGACCGGCTTTATGTAGAGAGACGGGGTTTGCTCAAAGGCCCCTGTGATCCCAGAGCCATTTTTTATCCTGGAGGTGCTAAGGTAGGGTAGAAAGGAGGGGCAGTTCTTCAAAGAACATGCATTAAAGAGTGAATATATGAGCATAGGCTTTTTTTTTTTTTTTTTATCTTGAAAGAAACAGGAAAACGCTCCTATTCCTGTTTCTCTGCCAGGAGTAGTATTGTTTCTGTATAAATCATTTGTGACAGAAGCTCCTTATTTTTAAGTGGAAAATGCACATTTAATAACAGGAGAATAACGTCCAAACATCCTTTCATTGAAGGCTGCCAAGAGAATGCCAGCACTGGTTGTTGCTTGGAGAATGAGATGCTCAAGTGCAACTTTTCCAGGGGCCAAACTGCTATTGCATGGCCTTTGCTTACAACGGGCACTGAGCAGTGGCTCCCCCAGACCTGCCTAACCAAGGGCAGCTGCATGCTGGGTGCCTTGTATACCTGGAGTCAGAGTATACCTGGGTGAGGACCGCAGGCCCACTGCTAACTGGCTATATGGCTTTGAGATAATTATTTTGCCTTTGTAAGCCTCAGTTTTCTCATCCATAAAATGGGCATACTGTTATCCTCTACCCTCATAGGCTTAGAATAAAGTTTAAATAAGAGGCATTTAGCATTGGGCTAATATATAAGGCAGCCATTGGTCACATAGGGCTATCTAAATTTAAATCAGCTATAATTTAAATAAAATTTAAAATTCAGTCCATTGGTCACCCATTTCAAGTGCTCAGCAGCTACATGTGGCTCATGGCTACCACATTGGACAGCACAGATCGAGAACATTCCCATCACTGAGGGAAGTTGGGTAGCTCTGATCTAGGGTCCTTAGCTCAGTGCCTAGTACACCGTATGCTGCATTGGTTCTTAATGTTCTTCTCCCCATCTATAAGAAAATAAAAGGAGGCACCCTACATATTTGAATCAGAGCCCTTGTAATCATGACTTGAGTAAATTGGGATTCGTTCCAGCCAAGATTCCCTCCTATACATAAAAGGAAGGAAGCACAATTTGGATATACAGGACTCTGCCCATTAAGACAGTCTCTGGGGACAGACCAGAGTGTGAGGGCTCCCAGTCCTGATCTCAGGGGAATCCATATTACAGGTGTTAACCTGATTAGCCCATGCTTGGCTCCTCATTAATTACCTGAGGTAGCTAGGGCCGTTTCCAGTACTCAGCACAAACCTTTTCATGTTGACTCTGCCGCTTACTAGTTATTTGGTCTTTGGAAGTAACTCTCTAAGTCAGTGCTTCTTTTCTTAAACTTAGTTGGCGTGAGAATCCCCAGGAGGGGTTGTTAAAACACAACTCCCGGGTCCTGCCCTGAGAGCCCCTAATGCTGTAGCTGGCTGGGGCCTGGGATTCTGCATTTCCAATGAGCTCTCAGATGATGCTGATATTTCAGCCCTCGGATGGGCCTGGATACCCTCTTCAAGCCCATAACTCTTGTGAGAATTGAGAAAATGAATATATATAAAGCCTACAGCCAGTGACATTGTAGAGACTCAACAAAAGGGATCTGCTATCACTATTATATTTTTCTAATTATTATTTTTACACCCACAAATCAGGATCTGCTAGACTTTCTTGATATTTGAAAATTGAGCCCATGTACTCTGCCACTCTTCTATTATGAATTAACTGTCTTGGATTTAAACTACTAAAGAACCTTCCAACTCTGAGTCATTTTGGACCAGTGGGATGGCTGTGTCTCCAGGTGTGCACCCAGTGTCACTCCTTCATCAAGTGCTCCACCCCTTCTGGGCAGTTTGGAACCAATATCGCTTGTGCATTCCTTCCTCCATAGCCTGGGAGGATGGATAATGCCTTCATGCACTTGCCTACTGCTAAGACTGTGCTTGGTAACTCTTAGTACCAAGTGGGCCTTTTGGAAACACTTGCTTCTGTAATTGAACATCAGCAACAAGGGGAGAAGAATCTTTCCTGAGTGGAGGATGCGAAGAGGATGACACCTCTGTTCTAGGACTGGAAATTTTAATAAGTGAATTTCTAGGCTGCCCCCATAGATTAAGCTTTGGTGGGAGAGGAAGGCTAAATCATTCAAAACCTGGGATTTGAATGATACCCTCTTCAAGCCCATAACTCTTGTGAGAATTGAGAAAATGAATATATATAAAGCCTACAGCCAGTGACATTGTAGAGACTCGGCAAAAGGGATCTGCTGTCACTATTATATTTTTCTAATTATTATTTTTACACCCACAAATCAGGATCTGCTAGACTTTCTTGATATTTGAAAATTGAGCCCAGATGCTCATCTGTGATTCCAGATGCCATATTCCCTGAAAATCTCCAGATTCTGATTCCCATTTCCAATGTCAAGTAAGGAGAAACCCTGTGTGTTCATTGCTCTTGTTTCCAATACCTTTGGTAAGGCATGATCTTCAAGGAATTGAGTGAGCTTTGATATTAAATATCAAATCCCAGCTAGGTAGTGTTCTATCTGGGACGTCTCAATTGATTGGAGTGTCGTCCCACACCAAAATGGAGAGGGTTTGATTCCTGGTCAGGGAACATACCTATGTTGTGGTTTGATCCCTGGTTGGGATGCATGTGGGAGGCAACTGATTGATGTTTCTCTCTTACATACATGTTTCTCTCTCTCTCCCTTCCTCTCTCTAAAATAAAAAAAATATATATATCGTATATATTTAAGTGTTTAAATGTTTAACAGCTGATAGATAACTCACTTAATTTTCACTCCTTATCAGGTTTACTTCATTCAAAATAACGGGGGAAGCCAGACTAAGCTTTGAACAAATAAAATTTATCCTGGTTAGTGCCACTAGACTTTTTTATGGGGTTATATACAAGATAAAGTTTATGATACAAAACCAGCAACAGTTGACAAATTGAGGGCACACATACACCAAACGAAATGATTCTTGATATTTGCCATTCTATTGCTTCGTGTTATCAGCAGTGCCTGGAACAGAATGGTCATCAGTTTGAAAACAGGTATTGACAAAATAATTATTCATTTCTATATATTCTTTTAAATTTTGAAAATGAACTGTACGTTAATAAACACTGACTTTATAATCATTCAAAGTGCATATATGTTTTAGGGAGACGCTATATATATCTATAAAATGGTAGTAATTTCATTTGAAGAGTTGATCATGATGTCTACTTCAGATTCCCCGAGTGTCTTAATTAGGCCTCTTTGGATACAAGGAATAGAGTCCTACTCATGTCACCTCCTCTAAAGGTTTATTGTAAGAGATGTTGGCAGCCTAGCTGGGAATGAGGGGCTTCGGTACCTGTCCCCTGTGACCTCTAGCATAGTCACTGTTATCTTTTCCCGACTGGCTGCTTCTGCCACTGTGAGACTCTCTGTTCTCCTCCCTTGCAACTCTGGCTCGCCCACTCTTCTTTTTGCTCATGACAGCAACTAAACTCCATCTTGTGGCATCTTTCCATCAGCTGTCCCTGCTTCAACTCACTCACAGTCTGTTTCCCAATTCCCTGGTGTAGGAATGCACTGGTATGAGTCATCATTTTCATTGGTAAATTGCAAACCAAACTTTTGGATTGACTGCCCTGGGCTCAGGAATAATCAGACCCGAGGCCTATTCAGCTGTACTCAGAGTAGGGAAAGGAGCAGTGTCACGGGGCATGAAGCATGCCCTCTTGGGTAGGAGGGTCCACAGACCATGGCAGTTTTCCTTAGAAAGAGTAAGTGAGTGGGCAGGCATGACTGGTCCCTTCCAGTGTTCTGGGGTTTTGCCATTTAAGGCCAATTGAATTCAAATGGCAGCTGAGCATGTTGAGGCAGATCAAGTCCAGAATTCCTCCTCACCCCACCCATTTGCAGTTGCCTCAGATTTATTATGGGACCTTAATTTAGTGCAAGCATGCCTGCTGGCTCAGGCTGCTCCTCACAGCTGCAAGGTCCCCAGGGTAGAGAGGCCACTCGGAGCCTCTCAGAACCTCCCTTCCTCTCCTCTCCCCCCTGCTAAATGTTAAGAAGGGCCCTTTCCAAGGCGCTGACTTTTGGATGGGGGACAGCAGTTATCTTTCTCCAGGTTCATCTCAATGTCACCTGGTTGGACCTATAATTATAATGGGCCACATTACTTTGAACTATGGAAATGGCACAGTCATCACCTAACTGAGCTTCTCTTTGTTCTCATCTTGTTTTAATGACACTCACATCTTCAAAAAGGAGGGATCTAGGAAATAAACTGGAAATTCACTCCTCTCCAAATTGGAGCATTAAAAAACTCACTAGCATGTATGAGAAACTCAGAAACACACTAGCATTATAGTCTCACACGAGTCTGTGCAAAGTACATCATGGGCTTCATTTGGGACTGTCTCCACTTTGATTGGTGTTCTAGGGTGTCCTCTCCCTCCATACCTGATAGGGACTTGTTACTCTTTGATGCTACTATAACCTGGTCCAGCCCCTGAGACAATGCTCTATATTCTTTGAGTCTCAGCACGGGGACTAGTCAGAGTTTCCGTTCTGATTTTATGACCCCAGGAGGGATGGGAGAGACCTGTGAGGTCATCTCATCTGTCCTCAGCCAGGGTAGGGCTGTTCCCTAATGTTGCAGTCAAGTATTTGGTCCAGTCTCATTTAAAATGACTCAAGTGATGAGGCCCTGGGACCTCCCTTGGGAGGCTATTCTGCAGCCTAATAACTCTCACTGTGAGTTTTTTGTATGTGTCTAATATTCAGAGTCTGACACAATGAGGCTATAAAGAGCTAAGTCTGTTTAAGGTAGCTCTTCACCTAGGAATGATCTCATAATAGTCACTTTTGTTATAAATCTTCATCCAGCAAGGGAGTTATGTGCAAGTTACAATGAGACCTGGGGACTATTTGTCCTAAAATGTAAGAATAGCCCCCAAATGAGAATTAATGATGGAAAGCCACTCCATCTACCAACAGTGCATCAGGCAGTAACTGTTCTGTGTATGTTATAATATTTCACACAGCAATATTTTTTGCTTATGTGGTGTTAAATGCAAAAGCAGAGAAGCTTCTATTGAATGCTTAGCACAGAATTCAGTGTTGCTCTTTGAAACATCTCTGAAAATTGCCTCCCACTGTTTGCCAAGGAACGAGGTTTTGGCCTAGGCCTTTCTCCTGTTCAGGGTCTATTTGTAATCATGGTTGCAGTTAGTGGTGGTGAGTTAATTATTGTTGGGAAAAAAATCTCAGGGTGGGGATGAGACAGGGAAAGGAAGAATGAAGAAAGGAGGAGAGATAAGGACAGGAGAGAAAGAGTAGGAAGAACTGAAGAAATTGGGAATTAGAAAAGGAAACAGAAATAAAAGGAAGGAAGAAAAAGTGGGGGTGGAAGATAGGAATGAAAGAAGGAAAGGAAAAGGAATTGCAGGTAGATTTGGGATCTGTGGGCTGGAGAGACATTCATACCAGTAGTACTCAACGTTTCCTTAAAGTTTCACCCTCTGGATCCTTCCTTTGCTGTAGGAATCTGGTTCTCAAAGCCTAGTTCCCAGAGCAGCAGCAACAGCATCACCTGGGAACTGGTTACAATGCATCTGGTCCCACCCCAGACACCCTGAATCAAACGCTGGGGAGGGGACCCAGCCCTGCAGGTTTTCACAAGCCCTTCAGTGGATCCTGATGCAAGTCCACAACTGATGAGAACCACAGCTGTAGGACATTCTTCTAGGCAGCAAACTGTTTTTAGGAATAACCTGGCAGTTAGAGGGCATTTATATTTATAGGGGCCTCGGCCTCTACCTCTAGCCCTCTGTCGAACCGTTATCTCTGCCAGGAGACAGGCTTCATTTTGGAAATCCACCCAGGAAGGCAAAGTTGGTTCCCCTTGACCACACACCATGCCACAGGTAATATACGGATTCCATATCCCAGCAGCTAGGGCCTGAGCCAGGCGGGTGATGCGGAACATCGGACATATATCTCAGTTCTCATGTTTCCCCCGTTGACACATCACTGTCAATGAGACAGTGGGGATCATTAAAGAGTTTATTTTCATCTTTATTTTTATCATTTACAGCATTTTTCCACTGAGAGTTCTGACCATATAAAAGGTGGTTGATTGAATAACCACCCAAATTAGCACTGTTTCATTTCATCCACATGGTTTTCTTGTCTTGACTGGTGATAGAACAGTAAATTCAAGTCATTTAAGTAGATATTGGAAATATAAACCTAATATATTCTTGATGCTCCTGTGGCATAATTATAATTTAAAATCAAAGTTCTCATATTTGATCACTTTTTTTTTTTTTAGGTTAAAGGGTTGTATTTATTAAAAAGGAGAATTGGAAACGTAAAAGTCCTCCTCCTTCATTTTCAGTATGGACCATTGTTGTTTAAGGATCTGTTCTATTGCTTGCTGATAAATATTTATCATGGTTAAGTGAACAATCATTTGGAGACAGATACCGTTTTATGATGTAGCTTCTCAGGGCGTCCTAATTGTGACACTGCCTCGCTGTTCCATGTTTTATCGGAATATGCAGGCATATACTTTATGAGGTTGGGTAATGAAGAGAGAGAGACCCCAATAAACATATTTGCTAAGAGTAATGGTTATCTATAGCTCAGCCACCCTCCGTTAGCATAGCCTCCATTACACAATACAAGGCAAGCAGTTCATAGCTCAATTAGACCTAACTTGCTTCATTTTTAGGCATTATGTTATTCTAAATTAACACTATATTTCATATTCTCCAGGTCTGACTATTAACCGGATTTTGGAACCTTCAGGGCTTATTATTTAGTAATCCCTGAAGCTCTCAAGTAGGCATTTTTAAATTCGTGCATTATAACAAATTAGAAATTAGCTAGAAAGGCATGTTAAATAACCTACTGCCTTTGTTTTGCTAATTGTGCTAGCAGAAGTAAAAAAGAAAATGCAAGTGAGGTCAGATCTGGGATGGCACAGATGAAGCTGCTACCTGGCTGGTTGCTGATTGTTGCTGAAATAGGGGTTATTCAAATGAGAAAATAATTTTTGAAATCTCTGTGGCATGTCACAGAGCCACATCCAAGCACACAGACCAGGAATTGTTTTCTCTTGGTGCTTTAAGTTTTCTGCAATAAGAATGCATTTCTAATGTAAGTTGTGGAAAAAAAATAAAACAAACAAACAAAAAATGGTGAGGTCTCACTACAGATAAAAGTGATAAGACATGCAGATGCTTTGAAACTGGTGATTCATTAACTCCTAGGAAATATCTCCATGTTTCTTGTTACATGTTCTTCATCCGTAGTTGTTAATCAGAAATAGAAAACTTACCGAAAACCTTAATTCACAAAGATTATTTATGATGAGTCAGTGTATCAGTTGCTCTTTTTCTTTAATATATTTTTTAGGGAAGATTCTGACAAAGCCGACTTTCCCAGGTCTCCATGCACTAACTCACTTCAGTTCTTCTATTTTTCCTTCCTCTATTGCATAAGAAATCACTGTATTTAGAGAACAGAAGATTCTGCCTTCATTGTATACATTTAAACCTTGTCACCTGTGCCTGCCTGGGGGAGGTAAACTACGAGCCACCCCCCCCCTCCCCCATCTGCTCCCTCCAAATATCCCTCCTTCTGGTCCAGAGTCAGTGATCCCAGGGCATCTTTGGCAATATCTGGAGGCGTTTTTGGTTGCCAGGATTTGGGGAAGTGGTGAGAGAGGAGGAGTGATACAGGCATCTAGTAAATAGAGACCAGGTAAAGCTACTCACCATCCTACAGTGCACAAAACAGCCCCCCACATCTCCCCCCTCAAAAAAAAAAAAAGGACTATCCAGCTCCCATATGTTGGTACTGAGAA